AATTAGGCGTGCACCCAAAAAATTGGAAGATTTGAACCAAAAATGAAGGCAGGGCCCCCCCCCCCTACATCAAATGTGCCAACTCCACCATCCCCTTTTAAAAAAAGTTTTTGTTAGGTTTCTTGGCACTTAAATAATTTGTAATGTAATTAAGTTCTATTAAAAAACACAATAAGCTTATTTCACTTTAATGAAATTATTCTATGAAAGATTTTATTTATGCTTTACGAAATTCAAGAATGATTTCCTACTTTCATTAAATTATACTAAGAAAGATTTTATTGATCGTTTACGAAATCCTTGAATAATTTCATACTTTAATTCAATCATTCTATGAAAGATTTTATTTATCGTTTACGAAATCCTTGAATAATTTCCCTCTTTAATTAAATTATTCTATGAAAGATTTTATTTATGGTTTACGAAATCCTTGAATAATTTCCTTGTAACTTGGATTTTAAATGTTAGGTTTTTGTTTTCTCCGATCTCTGTGTGAAGATGTCCTAGGTTTTGAGTCCTCCAAGAAACCCTGTGCTCATACTCTTATTTATCCTATGATTTCGCTTGTTCTTTAATTAGCCTTGTGAATTTTTGCTAAGTCAGCGATAAAGCCTCTGTCGTAATTTCTAGTGACCTTGTAGCAAAACTTAGGGCCTATTGTAATCTACGTTATACCATGTTCATATAGTAATAACGCACATCCTGTAATGCGATTAAACCATTCCATGTTCGTAGACAGATCTACCTCCTTCATACCCATATTGTGAATCAGATCAAAGAACTCGGAGAAAATATTAAAAGACTCCAAAAAACAATGAAGCATCAAGTTTGTATTGTGTACCAGAGTGTAACAATGGACAGTTTTAAATTGTGGACACAGTGAAGAACCATACATCAGAGTACCAAACACGAAGGAAACCGGAAAAGCGGGTGGAAACCGTTGATGCAAGGAAATGGAAACCCTGAGGCAGAGATCGGAATAAGAACTTCAAATTAAGGAAATGAAAGCCCTAAAGTGGAAAATGGAACAAGATGCGAAAAAATTAAAGATTGAAAATAATGATGCAGCAGAAGATAAATGGATAAATCACAACAATGTATGGAACAGCTACAAGAAGCAGTTGAAACCGGGAGAGCCACCAAGAGTATGTGCAATGAAATGATCGAAATTGAAGTTATGAGTTTTGCCGAGAATGCTCCAAAATATAATCGAAGCCTGGAGAAAAAGTTTGAATGGTGCAAGAAGTTGGAAACAATCTCAGATTATGACGTGAAAAGGATGCTGTATTTCTGCATCACAGGATCAGCTAGAAAAGAGATAGTGACGTTGTATCCTACAGGGTTGGCATTTAACTATGGAACGGTAGAATTTTTTAGAGAAATGTTGATAAGGGTCTCACCAGCATTTGAAGAAATTAGGAAAAGATTGTTACAAGAACATCATGAATACCTAGACAAAAGACATAGAGAAGAGGAGACCAGAAGAGCAATGCAGAAAGGAAGGATACTGAGGTAAAGAATATTTCTGAGAGTTTAAAAATCAAGACTTCAAATCCTGAATTCCTTGGAAACCTGAAATATCCCGGAAAAATACAAGGAGTAGTGATGAGTTGAAAAAAAGGTCCGGAATCGGATGGAAGAGAACTGGACAGATTATCTGAGATACAAGACCGGCTTCACAAATGGAATTGGGATAATTGGAAAGAAATAGAGAATAATAATTCCAGAACATAATCCTAGTTTAGCAGATATCATACAAGATGACGTGAAGAAACAAGAAGAGAAGAATGAACAGAACTTCATATCAATGTTACCAGAGAAACAGGATTCAAGTCAACAACTAATATTGCAGAAAAAGGATATGATAAGACAACATACAAGCCGTTGAACCAAAGAAACAGGAGATCGTAGATAAAATGTAAACAGAAACAATAGTTGATGTACAGAAATCAACAGCAGTGTTACAATTACAACTAATGATGCAGAGAATGGAGCAAATGGAGCTAATTAACTGAGCTATGGATGCGAAACTTGAACCATGTAGAAAGACATTGATGAAAGAAAATTCAAGATAAAATAAGAATCGGATATGCAGACACGGGAAAACAATGCAAAACCAGAGGAGAGCCAGAATACTATTGCAGTAATAGATTGTACCTGGAGAAGAGTAAGAAAACATTTATCCATGAAAACCTTGAGACAGATGACAACACAGTTCTGGGAAAACAGGAAACGGAAAGAGTATCCTAGAGTTGGATGAAGTTAACCAAATGGCGGAAATGACGAAATCATGAAATCATAAAGAATATTGATGAGGCGGCGGACAAATGGCGGAAATGGTGTGAGAAGTGGCGAAGAGATGAACAACAGAATCAAGGAGGTTGACAAATGACGGAAATTTTGGAATCCAGGAGGGATATTAAAGAGGTAAAAAGAAGATAATATCGAATACGGCATTTTCAGTTAAGCGCTCTAACAATGGATGTCTGGAAACCCTGGAATTGAATGAAATTAATGATGTGAAAAAGAGTTATCCTGATTTAAGAAATCCATAGGACAAAATAAATTAGTTGGAAATGATGTAACTTTGTATGAAAAAGTCTTATTTCAGAAACATGGAATCTGGAATAATTAAAAGGAAAAGTGATGATTGCGAAAATATTCCTGTCAAGAGGTGAGTTCTAGTAGATTTTTAATGTTTATACATACTACAGTGCCAACCAGTGCTTAGGGTCCGGATCCGGATCCTGGATCGGCCCTGAAGAAAAATGAAATTCCATATCTATAACACATAACAGATTTTTTTATCAATGAAGATTTTTTGTCAATTTTTTCGCTAAAACTAGGATGAACAATTCAGAGAATTTGATTAATCTGTCTTTTCAACAGTTGAGATTTGGATTTTGAGAGCAAAAAAATTCTTAGTTTTTGGTAAATGTTTTGTCTCATGGATATGGGTCTGTGGATCCGAAAAATTTTTCCTGTTCCTGATCCTAAGCTCTGGTGTAAACAAACAGAAACATTGGTAGGAAAAGGCAGTTTAGATAGAAAAGAGTCACGAGATTGCATAAGATATCTAATGATAACCTTTATCTTAGGATGACTAATGAACCTCAGAACATGGACGTACAGGAGAACGTGGTTAGGGTGAAGAACATGGTCAGGAAGGATATGCAGCATGAACAAAGAGTAAATAATGATATGAACGGGAAAGAGAAAATCATGAATGGGACAGAGAAAAACATGAACGAGGTGGAAAAGAACATGATTAGGGGAGAGAAGAACATGAACAGAGAAGAGAAGAACATGAATGGGGAAGAGAAGAACATAAACTATGTGGTAAAGAACATGAAAGAGGTAGAGAAGAACATGAACGAGGTGAAAGAGAACATGAACGGGGAAGATAGGAACGTGAACGGGAAGAGAAGAACATAAACGAGGTGGAAAAGAACATGAAGGAGGTGGAAAAGAACATGAACAAGGAAGAAAAGAACATGAACGAGGAAGAAAAGAACATGAACGGGGAAGAAAAGAACATACGAGGTGGAAAAGAACATGAACGAGGTAGAAAAGAACATGAATGGGGAAGAGGAGAACATGAACAGAAAAAAGAAGAATATGAACGAGGTGGAAAAGAACATGAACGAGGTGGAAAAGAACAAGAACAAGGTAGAAATTAACATGAACGGGGAAAGAACATGAACCGGGATGATTGAGTGTAGTTAAGATTGTCTTGTTTGTGGAAACGAAGGACTTAGTTATAGGGGAGGGAAAACAAGAAAATCATCTTACCAAGAAGATATTAGAACAAGAGAAACAGATTAACCATTTCAAATCAGAAAAAGAAGATAACAAAGCTGATCAAATATAAAGATGTTTGAACTGGAGAAAAAGATAAATGACGAGAAATCAATGAAGGAGATTGCAATAAAAGAGAAAGATGATCTACTAGAAAGAAATCTTAAACTGGAAAAGGAAAATAATGATAAAAAACATTGAAAAATAAATATGAGAAGGAGAAAGATGATATTCTGGATTTTCGGAAAAAAGAAGTTACTTGTTTTGTCTGTCTTATGATCCCAAGAACTAAGAAAATACCTATCTGTAGGAATGGGCACACTACCTGTGAAACATGTAAAAGGTAAATATCTGGGGATAAGGTTTTCAGAAATATACCTTCCTGGGGACTTGTTTCAAAATGGGAGGAGGGGGGAGGGGGTGGTAGTACTGATTCACCTTTTGAACAGGTTTAAACAAAAACAAACATGTTTTCTAGTATTTATATTTACAATTTACATTAACATTTTCGTTGAAAAGAAAGTAAAAGACAAAACATTGGTGGCAATGGTCATTTTATTTTTCATTTCTAATTCTCTGTCTGCATGTCTGTATTTTATAGAATCTATATTTCTACTTGTTTAATTATGAAATTTTCTTGTCTGTTATTGGAGGGAGTGGTTGCGGGACGGCCATGATCCCCACGAAATGATCTCCAGAGCCTCCTGATTTGAATTGAGATTATGACTTTATTATCTAAATTTTACGAATAATCATTACTGACACTTACAGTGTTGTGAAAAGATTTTATATTACTTTACAGGTGTATTATGTACGAATATCAGCACCAATTCACAAAGCACAACCGCTTTTGTAAATACTTGAAATGATGTTTTTATTCTTTGCTTTAAAAAGATTAAAATTTAAATATTTCTACTCAAAACTACTTAAGTAGCATCAAAGATGGTCATTTATATCTTGGAACATTGTCATAAAACCTTATTCCTAGGATGGAATGTCCTATCTGTAGAACTAGGATGGAAGACGACATGTTCTCTCCTCTAACCCAAAACATCACAGATCTGTTGGCAGTACCCTGCATATTCATGGATCAGGGGTGCACCATCAAACTCAAGAAGAGTAAGATAGTGGAACATGAGAAGGAAGAATACTATCTGCATTTAATTAAAACTTTTCAACATTTAAACTTCAGTGTCCAGGATGCAAAGTGAAGTATAAAACATTTACCCTGATCACTTCCTAAATTGTTTAAGAATTGATGAGGACGAAGATGTGACTGAAGTTGTATGAGCCACATATTGAACAATATAGTGACAACATGATAGTATCTTATGTTCCAACTGTATTCAACCTTGAAAATTCCAAGAATTGGTTTTTTTCTCTGTACTGAAGTTCTGGAAGATAAGCTGGCGTTCTGTATGAAGTGGAGAGGAGAGAAAGGAAAAATACATCTATAAGTTCAAGATCCCCAATGTTAGGAACAGTTTCTCTAGGTCTATGAGTGGAGTGATGTACTTCTTTTGAAATGGAAGCTAAAGATGCCATGTTGGGAGGATGTACTCTTGAATGATAAAGTAATAGAAAAGATGTGTTTTTGCGTAAACATTCTCAGCCCTGAAGTTTGCTACTTTTGCATTAGGAATACCTGAACTTGGAACGAAAAATTATGAAACTTATCATTAAGATTTTAAAACTAGTTGATTGATCAATTATCAGCTATAAAGGTTTTTTTTTATATGAAGCATAAAAGTGTTGAATTCAAAATATTGAAATATTATTTTTGATAATTTAAAAGTTTAAATATTTTCCTTTAAAAATTATTTTTCTTTCTATTATGAAAAGCATTCACAGTGAATTGCTATTGGTAATATGTTCAAAATCATAAATATTTGAATTATAAAGGATTGATTTTTTTATTTTACCAAGTTTTGTAACCAATAATTTTTTCAATACAAGTATACTGCATTGTATTTGAGATGGCAGCATAAAATCAATATTTTAAAACTGTACATTTCCTGTCAGACGATTAATGTTTAAATATGTAGTTGAAGGGAGTGTTCGCGAAAAATTAAAGGGAGTATAGATTTTTGGTGAAAAATAATCTCTTTCGACTGCTACTAATCTTACTTCTATCTGTTGCGTCTATAAGGAGAAAATTTTTAAAAACGACTTATACTGAAAAACGTAGCATCCATACAAATTCAGAAAGTTGCAATATACAACTCGGATCGTAAAAAAATCAATTTAATTTCAAAAAAATCATTCAGATATTACAACCTGTAGTCATCGATCAATTTTCGACGCATTCGTATATAGTTAGTGTTTAATATTCGTTTTGTATTCAATGCACTTAAAACGCCGAAAAAGTTGGTCGCTAGATGTCTCGGCTCTCAATGCTTTTAATGACTACATGTGGCAGAGATATCTGGCGGAAAGTCGTTTTTAAAGGGACTGTAAAAGAAAAATGAAAGGGGGTATAGGCTGAAAGCTAATCACTTCAGCTCTCGATCGCGACCCATGAAAGTTATATCTGATGTTCCTATCTCGAGAAACTGATTTACAACTTTGTCAAATTTATACGAAAATTAATATATAAACAATTTTGTATAAAAGTAGTGGGTTTAAATAGATCAAATTCAGCAAATATGCAACCAATCTGAAAACGATGATATCCCAGAGAAAGCTAATTGTAATTTAGGTATACTCCAATTCTAATTTTATATTTGTTATTTCTTTTTTTTATATAGATTTAGTTCATAATATTATTTATACGTCCGTATTGCTTGACCAGAAATTCCACCAATGGCAGTGCAGTAAAGTGGTCACGTGATACAGGCGGAGACACGTGACCAGTATACTGCTCTGCCATTGGTGATAGTTCTGGTCACATGATTTAAGTTTAAGATTTTCTAAATTTTACATATATGAACTTTCGTATAATTTTAACACAGTTTTATATGAATTTCTTGAGACAGGAACATCAGATAAAACTTTCATGGGTAGCGATCGAGAGCTAAAGTGATTAGCTTTCAGCCTATACCCCCTTTCATTTTTCCTTTACGGTCCCTTTAAGTGTAAATTGTATATAAAACAAAGAACAAATATTAGCTGTATACAAATACGTCGAAAAATAATTGATGACTTTAGGTTGTAATATCTGAATGATTTGTTTGAAATTAAATTGATTATTTCACGATTCAAGTCGTATATTGCAACATTCTGAATTTGTACGGATTCTTCGTTTTTTAGTATAAGATGATTTTAACAATTTTCTCCTTATAGACACAACAGATAAAGGTAATAATAGTAGTGATCTTAAGCGATTGTTTTTCGCCGTAAGCCTATGGCCCTTTTCAATTTTTTGCGAAGACTCCAAATACTTATTTATTTCAAATCATTTTTTATTTAGAAAACAAGTCTAATCTTAGAACGAAGGAATATTTTTGTTTATAATATGCGTTTTGTTTTTCAGAATCATGGAACAAAGATTAAGGAAGAGAAAAAATGAGAACGATGAACCATCTGAAAACCTTTCTGTGAAGAGGTAATTTCTAAGAATTTTCCAAAAACTTACTATGATTTCAAGTACTATAAAGGATATGTGGCACTTAAACAAATTATTGTTAAACAGGTTCAGAGCTTGTTAGTTCTTAAACCATTTTTAAAACCTTAAAAATCAATTCGAATTTACTATTGCGTAATTCTACCAATTTATAACAAACAATGAAGAAAAATATGTTGCTAGAAGTTCCAACCACTATTGTGGATAATTCTAGCATCTATATATAAATTGGCTTGTCTGTCTGTTGTCTGTTTGTTTGTTTCCAATAAACGGCTGAACCGATCGGGCCCAAATTTTTTGTGGGATCTCACGTTTATGAATGATGAAAATTTTAAAAATTTGTGTTTAAAAGTTTTTTATTTTTGAAAAATTTTGAAAATGCGCAAAAAATATTATGAAATCCGCAAACTTTTTTGTTTTTGTTTTATACTGTACAAAGAGAAGATGTTCCGAGATAAAGCCACAATTAAAAGTTGAAATAGAAGATGGGCGCGAAGCGCCCTAAAAGCCTAGTATTAATGAAATATTTGATGGATTTCATTTTATAGGAGCAGAAAAGTATTCAAGAACATGATGAAGAATGATTTAAACATTGAGGAGAATGATCTCAGCAGGGAGGAGAAGGATCCCAGCAGGAAGGAGAATGATCTCAGCAGGGAGGAGAATGATCTCAGTAGGAAGAAGAATGATCTCAGCCGGGAGGAGAATGATCTCAGCAGGGAGAAGATTGATCCCAGCAGGGAGGAGAATGATCTCAGCAGGAAGGAGAATGAACCCAGGAGGAAGGAGAATGTTCTAAGTAGAGAGGAGAAGGATCTTAGCAGGGGTAAAAATGATCAAAGTAGGAAGGAGGAAGATCTCAGCCAGGAGGAGAATGATTCCAACAAAGAGGAGAATTATTTCAGGAGAGAGGAAAAAACTGAACTTACAAAAAGGATTGCTGAACTAGAGAAGCAGGAGAATTATGAGAAAGATCAACTAAAAATTAAGATTTTTGAACTTGAGAAACAGAGGACTGATGAGAAGTGCAAACTTAAAGAAAGGATTTCTGAACTTGAGAAGCAGAATAAAAATAATGTAGAATTAATAAAAAAGATATCTTTCTTACTCACAGGAATTCTGAACTGCGAAAACAACTCACTTTTGAAAGAGTGAACGTAATTCAAGAAAAAGCTGATTTTACAAAAAGAATTTCTCAACTTGAGAAACAGGTGAATGAAGAGAAATCAATGAGTAAGACATTAAAGAACAAAAAAGACAAATATCAGAAGGAGAAAGATGATATTCTGGATTTTCTGGAAAGAGAAGTTACTTGTTCTGTCTGTCTCATGATACCAAGAACTAAGAAGATACCTATCTGTAGGAATGGGCACACTACCTGTGAGACATGTAAAAGGTAAAATTTCGTAATTTATTTTTCGAGAAGATCCCCTTTAACAGCATTAAATAAGATCAATATTAATATTTTAATTATATTTTATTATTTTAAACATACATTCAGTTTGTTAGTCAATAAAACAGATTACTTTTATTGTTCAAACACTGGATTTGTTGCTGCTACTGGATTTCCTGGGTTCCCATCTTTCGTTTGATATGCATTAAGCCATAGTTGAAATATTTTCTATTTGTGGAGGTCATTAGAGGT